TTAAAATGCTCGTCTCTAACATAATCGTAGAGAAAGAACCAGTCTATCCAACTTGTTCAGGTCGATTAGACCTGAGGGTATATCTCGATGAACCCATGTAAAATGACCAAAGAAAGAACAATTAAATCCACATCATATCCAATCAATCCAAACGTGAAGAGTCGCCGTGGACTCCTTATAAATGGTACCTCCAGGGATACTCGTGTCCGTTGATGAGGTCTTCAGTCGTGCTGTCAACGCCAACATCAACAAACGTCATAACAGTTGTCGTAAGCTCAGCCGTAGTGCAAGCCTTGTTGAACGATAAAACACAATAGCGATCGCGATCCGTAGCACGATCCAGCTATCTCACAACTCATATCCCACATTTTAATCGGAGGGAGGCGTCGATAGCATACCCTCGGTCTTCTCGTGCATGCTGACAGTAGCCTCTTCGTCGGACAAGCTAAAGCCGTACTCGCGAGCCTTCTGCTGGACCTCGGCCTCAGTAAGGCGAGGCAGCTCCTGAGCGGCCTTAACATAGCTAATCTTCTCGGCATATCCCTTGGCGAAGATAACATCGATCTCTTCCAAAGTCCGACCCGCAGTCTCGGGGTACAGGAAGTAGATGATGGGGAAGAAGATAGCATTAAGGGCTCCGAAGAAGAGGTATGTACCCCAGCCGCTCTGACCCGTGTTGCTTAGCAGTACGGGGGTGATCATGACGATGAAGAAGTTCCACAGCCAGTTGGACACGGTCGATGTTGCGTTGGCCTTGGCACGAGTCTTGAGCGGGTTGATCTCGGCTGGGTATAGCCACGGCAGAGGAAGCCAGGTTGCGCCGAAGAAGGCGATGTAAGTCTGATGATGAGTTAGTTATTTGCTCAGGGCAGCATGGGTTTAACCCAAGGCAAAAAGGGGATAACTTACGAAAAGACCAACAGCAGCTCCCTTGGCCGCTTCCTCAGTTCCCGGAATCAATGCTCCAAAAACAAGAACCATAGACAAGCATTGCCCGACAGTACCGATCAAGTATAGCTTTCTTCGTCCAATCCTCTCAACGGCAAACCATGACGTCGTAGCAAAAATAGAGTAAACAATCATGTTCACACCACCCAGCAACAGAGCCAAGTTATGCGAAGTGCCGATAGAGGTCTGGAACAAGATAGGGAAGTAGTAAATAACGGCGTTGCAACCACTCAGCTGCTGCATCATTTGACTCGAGGCGCCCAGTAGCAAACGGCGGAAGTGCTGAGTGGGGCCACCAGTAAACAGGTCGGAGATAGGGGTAACACCGCCAGCGTGACCGGAGGCGCGGATGGCATCAGTGATAACAGCCATCTGGGCCTGCACGGCAGGGTCGTCACGGCGCTCTCCGTGAAGGGCTGCCAGGACAGTAGCTGCCTCCTCGTTGCGGTCCTTGGTCAGGAGCCATCTGGGAGATTCCGGCAGCTGTGTCATGAGGCCGATGACAACGAGAGCGAACACACACTGGAAGGCGATGGGGAAGCGCCAGACGAAGGGGTGAGGCCCGTACGTGCATCCGTAGTCGATCCAGTAGGCAATCAAAGTTCCGATGGCAACGTTACCGCCTTCGATGCAGATGAGCTTGCCGCGGTTGTGCGAGTGGGAGCATCTGTAAGTCGAATGTTAGTAAAATAAGCAACAAAAATAGGGATTTGAATAGATGCTTACTCTGCTTGATAAGTCGGCACCGTCGATGTGTTAATGCCATTCCCTATACCAGTAATACATCTTCCGATAATGAACTGTGCCGTAGCTCCTCCGCCTGAACCGTTGGGCATGGAAGTAATTTGAATGATAACACCGATAATCATGACAGTGGCACCGAGGAAGATGGACTTGCGGCGGCCGAGGTGATCACCGAAAGTGAGAATAAAACAGGCACCGAGGAAGCAACCGACGGCGTAGATGGATACCACGAAGCCCTCGTACGTGCTGTCGCCGTTGACCTCAGGGAAGTCAGATGTGAAGGCGGGCGCAGAGATGATGCCGGACATGACGCCCTGGTCATAGCCGAACAACAAGAAGTCGGTCGTCGCTACAGCGGTGATGAGTTTCTGTAGGGTCGAGCCAGACGTGCCCCAATACGTGGGCGCGCCATTGGCGTTGTCTTTGTGCCCCATGTTGTCGTAGACCAGCAATGAAGCGTTCTACTCAGGAGAAACGTTAGAAAACCGGGTGAACCACAGACCAAAGGCTAAAGATCTGGGGAAGAAGGGGTAGAGAAGGGGGAAAGATGTGGGAGAGATAGGGAAATAGGGAAATAGAAGTTGGTCCAGGCTGATGATGGGGGGATGAAATCAGGGTCCAGTTCCACAGACTCCGTATATATACCTTTATGCTTCGTTACGACGCTGGGCTTACATATCTTCATACGTCGCCTACGTATTTCCTGATAATCATAAAAAAGGGTCCTTCTCCCACATTTTCCACACTTCCCACACTTTTCCCGCACTATCTCGTCAACCTGCTCGCACTTCTCACCTGCGGGTGGATGCCACCGAGCAAGGACCGAGTGAATATCGTCATAACGCCTGAGGCGTTTCCTCTTAAAACCCATAAAAATCCTAAAATTGGTGTCCACACCCCGTCCACAGAAAACCGTGGAGTTCGCGCGGTGTCCCCAGCATGGCGCTGAATTACGCTAGAGACGCTGGGGAGGCAAGGAGGGTCACGATAATGTGAAATGTGACATTTGCGATTGATGGCGCGGCTAAGCCTCTAGCGCGAGTGTAGTGGAAGGGTGGTGTGGTGTAGCGCAGTGCGAAGCCGTGTGAGGCAGATGGCAAAATTTCATTCACCTTTTTTTTTTTATGGACCGGGTCCTGAAGATCCTTATCCGCCCTTTCGTCATCGATACCCACCGCGGTCCACTCTGCTCGAAGAGTCGAGTCATTTCTGGGGCCTATATGAAGCTAAAGGCCGTGGCGGCAACGGGCACGATAACAGTTAGCGTTCCTTCTGCCACCTGCCACCCGCCACGACGGAGGCCGACTTAAAGCTTTTCGGCGGCGGGCAACAAGCAGCCGCATCACAAGCCGCCGAGAGCCAAGCAATTTGCGTCGGAGACATGTCCTTAGTTAGTATCCTGTTTCAAGGCCTGCATAAGCCGGTCCTGTCGTCCAGCCCGTGTTTCGCCATCTCTTCGGTTGCCTGAGCGGTGAGGTCAGATGTCGATCTTAAGAAGCGAGCCAAGCAGACAGGGCAGAACACACACATACACGCACACAGTAAAGCAACCCTTTAGTAAGAAACCCGAGATCCTAACTTTGAAATAGAGGGGTTGTAATAACTCACCTGCTCACAACGTTCCGTACTTCCGAAGAAACAGCTGAGATATACAACACAAGAGTTTTCAGTAAAAAAAAAAAAAAAAAAAAAAAAAAAAAAAAAAAATTCATAACCATGTGCAGCTTTCTTATGATAGCATGGCATAACTCACCTACGTAGGTACATACGTATGCATGGAAAAGACGAATCAAATGCGCACCTCTTATCACATTCTGAAATCACATGCGTACAGCAAGAAAGCTTAACACACCTCAAGTCTCTTAAACCAACAGGAGGCTCACACCTCGGTGTTTGATTGGCTATTCCGTTGAAGATCTTTTAGACTGGCAGACTGGGAGGTCTGCACGAAGCTTCATCTCCGTTTCCTTGGCTGCTTGGGAGTTGCGCCTTTTTCCACCCAAATCCAAGGCCATGCTCTCCCATCCATTTTCCTCGTTCCTATTAGCGTCTTGTCATTCGTTCAATTTCGTCAATTTTACACTATTCTCTCGATGAGTCCACAGACGTATGGTGCGTTCACCGGTCCATGCATCGTCTTTGCGGTTGACGGGATCTGCAACGCAATAGCCAGCATTTGTCGTAGTAAATTTGTCGCAGATAGCCGAAGACAGGGGGCATAAACTCCGATACCTAGATGACTGATCATTACCTACATGTACACAGCCTTATTAGCTGCCTGTCGTATCGGATACTCTGGAATCTGGCATTGATCCTGTCACATCCTTCGGTGCTGAAAGAGATTACCGTAGGTGCTAGAATTACAAATAGTAGAAAGTACCTAACCTACATGTAGGTAGGCATGACTACCTAACCCGGGGGTCGCCGGGTTCATTGGTAAGTGATAATAAAGTGTCTAGGTTCATCCATTGTCCGAATCGCATCGTGAAACCACCTCGGAAATTTAAAGATTTTTTCTTAGCTACAATATTTGACATTTGGAAGGGACTATACTCGTGTATAGTTGGCACGTGCGTGAGAGCCAGCAAGCGAATGCCTATGTAGTGAGTAAGGTAGGTTTTGCAACGGAGGGTATATATCTTACACTAAGCACAATACCTAATGCCTCATAGAAGGGATCATGTCGCATTGCTCAGGTTTACGAAGGTTGCTCAAATGGGAAAGTAGACCACCGGTCGCAAGTTGGCACGTGCGTAATTTTTATGTAATTTAATTGGGTTAAATCTTTCAAGACGCTGAGAACGCACCTCGTACGCACGAGCCACTTAGTCCACGGGGGCCCCCCCTTCCCCCACCAAAAACAACCACAGCCACACAGCCACAACAACACAGGTGGCGGCGGGCGGCGGGCGGTGAGCGGCATGAGTGGCGCCTTTTTCAAATCGAAAACGCGTCAGCAGACGCGCTCGCCACCCAATTAAATGGGTTGAAAGGTGAGATATTGGCTGATAACGGTGTTATATGGTGTAGGGTGGTGTGCCGGGTAGCTAATTCATATAAACGGCTTTAGTATGGCCTATAGCTTCGTAAACTCAAGGCTTTTGGTTATTATGTCGAGGACCGAAGTGTCGGCTTCCTAATTAGGTATTAAGCGAAAAAGTCCCGCAAATGAGAAAAGCATACATCGTATATTGGTCCGTGCACAGAAGGGATGGCTAAACTCCGGACATAAACTCGCCAGAGGGGGTTAGCGCAGGGGAAAGCTGTTTTGTAATACTTAAATCAAAATGCGGAGGGATTTTTCATCAGGCGCGGTGCCAGAGTGGTTAATGGGTGAGACTTGAACTCTTTGAATTACGTTCAATAGCATATCTCATGACTTCGGTCGCGCAGGTTCGAACCCTGCCCGCGTCGTATTTTTTAGCCTTTTAATCAGCTATACTGGTGTTCCTTTTTGCTTCATTCATCGAGAATTAAAGTGCTCTGATTTTTTGCAATTTATTTCGCATGTTTGGCGACTGGTTGGGCGTTGAACGGCGTTCTACGGTCTTCCTCCCGGTTGGGTGGGGCACATCTACGGTACCGGCTAATATTCGGATGAGGCATCGGAGGGAAGGTACCGCAACGTGGTTGCCAACAATGGTTGTATACCTACCTCTATACAACGACCATTTCAGCTACAATGCCATCAATCTTGACAAGATTATAAAGCGATAAGATTACAAAGAGCCTGTATAAAACCACAGCGATACTAGGCAGATAGAACCACTGCATATCCACACTTCCTAAGCTCACTATAGATGGGGAGGGTAGGTACTTAATCTAAGGTACGTCTCCAGTGGTAAATCTTGTTGGTACCTTTCCTTCCTATCGATACTAATTTAATGAAGCTATTCCTAACCTTACCGTTACCCCCTGAAAACCCTTCCTGGCTTGACCGTTACTGTCGCGGAAGCCGTAAACGAGGGCTTTAGCCCATTGATACTCTTCCTTTTGTACAGTCATTGGTGGCCCCTCTAGACGCCGCCGTGTCTTAGGGGCCTCCTCGTGGGAGAAGGACCGCCTAATTCTGGCATCACGCTGGCGCTACATACCCTAGCTCTTGTTGTCAGCCCCTAGAGCCTTTGGGTAGACACTATTATCTCGGGTTCTATGTAGGGTGTTGTACGTACTGGCCGGTAGGGGGAGTAGCCCATTAGGATAGTTATGTGTCCGACAAGTATTTACCTTTAGGTCTGACTCCTTATGACTAGCGATGGCTTGAATATCATTCACTATAGCAACAAGAGTGACAGCAAAGGTGACCAGAAGAAGGAAAGGTACCAACAAGATTTACCACTGGAGACGTACCTTAGATTAAGTACCTACCTCAAGGATACTTATTACGCCTGGAATATCTGGAAACCTGGAGGACTTGAGAAGATTCGGAATTGAAGTAGAAGACGGAAAAGACGGTAGTTAAGTCAAGGGAGGAAAGGCATTATATAAAGCACGTCGTTACATAAATACGCATGACGCATAAACAACAGCAATAACAGCAATAACAGCAACAGCATCAATACCGTTAATAGTAAGGAACCAATTTCCGAGGGAAAACGTTATCCTAGAAAGAATATTACATACCAAAAGCAACCGCTGTAAGGCGCTACAATTGCTTCTCATCCCTACATTTTGTCGCTACGGGGTGCTTAGCTTCCAACTCTTACACCATTGGCCACATGTATGGTACACATGTAGTAAGCATTGTCACTCTAACAGGCCCTTCAATGTTATATTCAATCACAAGGTCTAGTTAGCATGACGAGGAGTAACTAAGGTCCTCCTAGTTCGGCAAGATTAGCACACCCATACTTGAGAACATTAGATATATGTTTATCAATGCTACTGCCATACCTGAGGATGTATGTAAATGGAACAACACCATAAATTCAAGTCTACAATCGGGAGGGATGCAGAATGGTGTCGAGACACAATGGGCACCCACTAGACATATACCAAACAACGAGGGGTTACGCTGCTCTTCTTCCTTTCTTTTCATCAAGACTTGGGACGGGATGCACACCCTCGATGGGACCGTATTATAAAGGCACTATGTTGGTAGATATGACCACCTTATGCCCATACGTACTAATTTAAGGTACAGCTCCAGTAGAAAATTATGTACCTTTCGTTCATATTCTTGTTAATCTAAATGAAGATTCTCGTCGTTAACTTTGCTGTCGCTCCTGTTGCCGCCGTGGGATAACACCCTTCTTTTCGTCAATGACGACATCTACTTTGGCCACCATTTCAAAGAGTCCAATACATGACTTAATAACCCTACTACAAGGCTTCTTAGAAACCATTAAAGCCGAGGAGCACGTGGCGTCGGGGTAGTGGCAATACCAGATAGTCTCCTTCCCATAACAAGCCACTTAAGATAAGAAAGCGTTGAAAGGGACCCCAGTAAGGGGTATACAAGGAAGGAGGACTATCAACGGGCTAATGGCTTTATTTACAACACCGGTAGCTGTAATAACAACAAGGTCAAGGGGAGTTATCAAAGGGTAACGGTAAAGTTAGGAATAGCTTCATTTAAATTAGTAATAACAGGAACGAAAAGTATATAGTTTCGTACGGGAGTGCTACCTTAAATTAGGTACCTACCTACCATGCCATACCATGGTGAGATTAATATGTATGGGTATAAGGTGGTTATATCCATCAACATAGTGCCTTTATATAGTCCCCCCTCGACGCTGATGGGTATGTGTATGATGGATGGCTAGTCGCTTACTTTTCACTATAAATGGAAGACGTACGAGCTGGGAATATTGAATACGTCCAGAATAATTCCAAAGAGAATTTCTTGCAAAGGGAAAAATGCCCTAGCTAGCTAACGCCGCTAACTCCTAACAGCGTATCTCGTAAGAATCATTGCGCTATGGAATAAAACAACGCGCGGTCAACACACTAGAAAACCTCCCTCTCTATTGCTACTCAGGAGGGGATAAGAAACCTAGTCTTAGATATGACCAGGTAGCACATGTACTGCCTTTAAAATTCAGTCAAATGCTCTCCCTAGATGTTGATGTTGTGATATTTGTAGCAAACCACCCTGCAGCTCAACACAGCTCAACACAGCTAGCGTCGAATGTCGAGGCTAGCACGGGAAGACTCGATAGACGGGCGGACAGAACTACTAGAACTTCTTCGCCTTCTCGCTCGCTGTTCACTCGGATCTGCAGGGTTAAGTCCCGTCGACCTTGCAAACAAGTTGAGGATATCCGTCAACGTAACGACGCCGATCAGACGACCCGACAAGTGAGACCCGGGAAGAGTGGAAGCTGGTGGGACTGAAGGAAAATGGCTCCCAGTAAGAGACGTCTGTGAAGAAGACGGAGTTGGGACGAAGACTGTGGGACCCAGCGAAGGGGTCCCTGGCGCAGAAGGAGATGGCGAAGCCGATTCAACTATCCACATTCTATGTGAATGGGTAGCCACGAGCTTAGCAACGGTATGCGCGAGCGTCGAGTAAGGGTTCACATAAAACACTGGGAACGAGTCCTTGCCTTTCTCGACACCCTTCTCCGTCAAGATGACCGATATGAAGTGCATGCACGAATTCTGCAACAGTGGAAGACTCGTAGCATTAGTAAGGAGCCTGACATCTGCGGTAGAAATGTTGCCGACAACATTCAACCCATTGTCAACGACCGCCACACTCGATAGACCCTCTTGGTTCATTAGATTGAGGGCTTCTGTCAAGGGGCTATCTGCACTGTGCGGTTATTAGCAAGTTATTCGGTATGAAGTGATAGGATGGTATGAAAACCGTACTTGACAGCAATTATCTGTTGCGATCCCACACCAACATCGCGTAAGAGCTTGGGGTATAGATCGTCGATGACGCGGAAGTTGACCCCTTCGTTCCAGAAGAACTCCAGAACCTTCAACTGGCTAAGGATGCCGATGACTTCTCCATTGTGATTGGTGATAAGCACTCGATGCACACCGCTGCCAAAAATCTCGATTGCCTTGACAAGGTCTTCGTCTCCTTGCAAGGTGACGAGGGATTCTTTTCTGAATATCGGTTGGACGTCGCGGAGCGGAATACTGATCCGAGCCTGAGCCTTCTTTGCCACTGTATCGTATAACTCAACCAAGTCTTCGGGTGGATGCGCCAATCCGACGACGACCAAGATATATGCGTTCAGGTCGTTATAATCGAAGGTCGAAACCGGAATGGAGCTAGTAGCGTCCTCTCGGACAATAACAACGTTGCTCGAGGTGTTCTTAAGAAGCGCCTGGAGAATATGGTTAGAGGTGAGTTGCTTAAATTTGAATGCATGTTGTCGGATAGGAATGGATGCTAAGTACCATCGTGGCGTCCTCGACGCTAGTATCCAGTTCGACCCAGGAGACGTCATCTTTGGACACAAGCTCCCCGACTGCGACATCGCGCCAATCCCGGCCTGCGAAGCGAGGGTTGTGCTGTCTTGGGGCCGGCGGGTGGTTGAGCAATTCCTGAATGGCGGCTTGCGTAAAGGAAGGATGTCGCTGATTTCGCGGAGACGGCGGCAGGCCTCTCAAGTTCTCGGCGAAGCTCGAGCGATGGCTGTGGTTGATAACATGGCCGGACTTGTGCAGGCTCGAAGCGGAGCCGGTTCGTTGAGGGGGCGGCGGTGAGATGCTCGCTTCCTTAGAATCTCTACCAACCCTGGAATTCGCTGCGTTAGGATCCATGGCTCGGATGAATTAGGTATATGACGAGATGGTGGCAGACTCGAGGCCGTTCTTGGTAGTATTGCTGGAGGTTTTGTTCCGAGGTTGGGAGGAGTCGAGGTGCCTCGTACTGGCAGACTGGGTAGCTTCGAAGCTATAGCTAGTCTAGCCTTGGCCACTTACTCATGTAGCTTGTGCAGGGTTTAGGGGATAGCTGGAGAGGATATCTAGAACGACAAATATCATGTTGGTACCGAGTACTGGGAGCCGGTGATGGGCGCAAATAAAGTCAGCCTTCAATTGGTGTTGAGGGGCGTATCATATCCATGATGCATGTGCATGCTCCGGTGAGACTGGGACTGGTCTTGAGACTTGCGCGGGCTCCGCAAGTAAAACATTCCACATTCCCGGTTGTGGACAGTGCAATCGCCCCCCGGAACGGCAAACCCCTCCTTCACCTTTCTACACCGTCACCCATCTGTCACTTCTGTCGATCCGCAGCCGAGTCAACTTTGATAAGGAAGGCTCATCCTACGTACCTGCATACATATGTATTCTTTGCTATGTTAGGGATTCATGATCATCGAAAGTCATCAATGGCCCATGTTCAATTTAATCCTGGCGATTTATTGATTACATCCCGTCAAACTACCTACTTACCCAGTTCATCTATGTCCACATCGACGCCAGTTGTTGCGAGACAAACATGA